CATATTGAGTGGAGGTTACAAAGTTTTTAACTCCTTATGAAACACAAGAACTCCGAAATGAGTCAAAGATACATCTTTAACCTTAGAGATGTTATGCTGAATTGCCTTCAGTTATTGTGAATGATCTAATAAGAATAAAAGAATACTGAAAAATAAAAAAGAGTAAAGTATTTAAGAGTTATATCAATAATCTGCAGGAGGAAGGAAGACTGTCTTAAATATGCACCCAATTCCCATTTCATGTTTAAATTGAGTGAGAATAACATCTTTTTAGAAGTACACAAAAAGGGGAAATAGACCAGCATTTGAAAATCAGACAGAAAGTATTCAATATCTTTTATAAAACAAAGTTGTATAAAACTTTTATTTAAATGCCTGTAAGTGTGGTTAAATTTAAGGTATTTGATTAGGGATTCTTCCAAATTGGTCAACTGGGCAAATATGAAAATTTGGTAGGTTTAAGAACTATTTTTAAAATATTAAAATGCATAATTTACTAACAAATAAGCTTTAACTATTACATGATTACATTTTAAAATTTCTAAGATTTTTCTTTGTTTAAATAATAATCACATCTATTGTGCATGTGAAAATGTTTTCATGCCTATGACAAAATTAGATATAGGTAATAAATTAGTGATGAGATACTATGAAAAATCCTTAAATATCAATATACTTAAATAAATCTTTAAATGTTTTCATAAATTATAATATTAAAACATTGATATGAACTTTATGATGTCAACTGAAATATGTATAATACTTAAAATTTTCATATATATTCACCCTCAAATATTTTCATATCTTATACTATCAATAAAATGCTTTAAATTGATCTCAGTTACAATAATCATTCTTACTTCTTCTATTTCCATTACTCTTTGAGATGTTTTCTAAGCAAAGTAATTAAAAAGAACATTAAAAATATAAAAATCTTTGTAATGTATACATTTGTAGCCTCCATAAAGATCAAACTACTAGTCAGAAATACAGAGCATAAAGAGAAAACATCAGTACTATAAAGGTAAATGAAGAATTCAAAACCAAATTAGTAAAAATATATTTAAGTCTATTGAGTAATGTAGCTAAATTACAATCATTATGAATTATTCTGTCTTTGAAATAAATTCTTACATAAATTGTGAAAAAAGTACTGTATGTTAAAAATCCAAGAATTCCAAATATAACCCAACAAGTGAAGAAATATGGCTATGCAAATAAGCTTAAGAGAAGGCAATAGGAAGAATGGATTCAATTCTTCCCCTAAACAAAATAAATTTCAAATGACCCTTTTGTCTTATGAGGTGAGATAATGACTGGAAATAAATGTTAAACTATATGTAAGAAAACCTTACAGGATAACAAATATCAACAGGTAGTTATTGGGGAATACTGCCCTTTTCCAGAAAAGACCTCATATTTAATTACCATGAAATTGATCTAAAATACCATCAAATACTTAAGCACTATTAAAAGCTTACAATATTTCAGAAAGTTGCCAGAGATCTTTCCAGGTCATTTAAACATGTAAGCCCACAATCTAACTATGAGTGCAATTTTTAAAAATTTATTAGTAACAGTAAACTGACAGGAATATTATTAGCACTTACAAATAGCTATATTCTAATTGATGAAATTACCTTAGTAGGAACCTAACCTAGACTTACAAATCTGTATTAACCATGTATACCTGTCCTGCAATTGAAACAACAAATCTTTTCTCATTGAATTCTTAGGTAAGAAATTCCTACAAATTTATCTTACTGACAAACTTAATCATCAAAATTGTCAAATATTAAATATTATAAGGATCACCTCAAAGACTGCACTGTGACAAAATTCACAAATTATATTTCTGATAAGTTTGCAAAAGTAAAATGTTCATTATTGAACACTATCAATGTTTCAGAATATATAGATATATTCATTAATAGTCCATATAAATAAGATCATTTAAATCACAAGTTAACATTAGAAAGTCAAATGAGACTATTATTTTAAACCACCAGTGGTCATACACTATCTTCAAAGAGCAGAATCTCACTGCATTTACCAAACAGTCTAGGGATAGGTAAAGTACAGCACCTAAGTCATGTGTTTCTTTCTGATGAGCTGGTGATATTAGAAAAACTAGAAGTTTGATGTTATTATTGCCAACGAATTTTAAATAGTTTCATATAACAATATATAAATCTACTTTAAAAAATACATATAAATTTCTATCAGCTGAACTGTTTTTGAGGTACAGTTCTTTGCAGTCAATATTTTCAAAAGAAAAAGTACATTCTGGGTGACTTGGCATTAACTTTTAAATGTTATTTTTAAGAAACTAAAATAATTTATTTTTATTTACCAACTATATACTATGAAAAACATGTTTCTGAATACTTAAAAAAATCCAATGACACATATATTTCTGAACACTCAGAAAACACCTGTGTTATATATTTAAAATAATGGGTAGATATGTTCTCTCAGGAGAACATATGAAATTCCTAAATAGCCATGCCTATTTTTCATAACAAAAGAGTGTACACACATAATGGAGGGAAAATCTAATTTATAATTATTCATAAAACCTAGTATGCTTTAAAAAATGCTCATACAGTAAAAATGGTACCAAAAATAATTAAGAACATTTAAAAGGCATTTATAAAATTGTCCTGAGTTGCAACCTGATTGTATAAGCAAAAGGGATGCTCACATGATACCTATACACATCTTATGACCGTCTGACTTGTAGTTGCTGGGCTAAAATTAGTAGGATTCCTGCCTTCCAAACAGTCATTCATATAATTTATATGCAATTTATCTCAAGCCCCAACATAAGAAAAAATCAGGTATCACAGTCAAGAAGCAAAAAAAATAAATAAATAAAGCAAGTGATAATACCTAAGTGATTTTTCCCTAAAAAAAGACAGATATGTTGAAAAAAACAAATACGAAACCCCCTAAAAATCACTTTCTAATTTTAAAGTTAAAGATTACCACTGTCTTTTTTACATCACAAAAATACTAATACTTAAGTTTTATTGACTTTTTACATACTTCTTCCTAAGAATGTATCTAGGAAGAATACAAATACACATATTTAAAGAGCATTTTTATCACATGTCATTTTAACATTGTTCTTTAGTAAACACATAATGTGTAACAGAAGATTAAAGCAAGTCTTAATCAATTATACACTAGAAACTGCTATCTATAAAACTTTTTCAGCAGCATAATTTCTGAATTTAGTAGATATAGGAATGATCAACATATAAGCATTATACAGCTTAAATTTGGATGTCTTGTGGTTTTAAACAGAGTAACAAGATGTCTAAAATTTGAATATATTAAGGGTAAAATAGAAAACAAAATTATAACAAGGTGTGATCAAAGGAGAAAAGAGCTATTTTTTTCATTCATCTATAAAACAAATTTATGAGATCGTAAAGGACAATTTAACAACCTAAAGAAGGTTCAAAGTGGGGAAAGCCAGAGCCTGACAGAACTGAATCTGTCAATGATTTCAGTCATTCAGTCTAGGGAGAAAAAAAGCAGAAAATGTGGCTTCATTTTGCAATATAAAGTAGGAGGCATAAAATTCAGTAGCCTGTCTGCTGATGTCTAGTTACATATTTAAACTGTTTCAATTCACAGATTATGCTGATCCTTCCACATATAAACAGCCAATAATGATGGCCAGGCCTTTAGGAAAGGAAAACACACACCACACAGCAAGGTCAGGAAGCTACCAAGCACCACAGGACAACAGATCAAAACAGAATGGTTTCATATGTTTCTATTGTTTATATAGTTAATTTGGAGATGATATTCCTTGGGGGAAAAGGAGATTGTAAATATTACCAGGAACATGAAACATAGTATCAAATACAATACATAATTTTCATGCAGACTACGTATTTCCTGTATGTATCCAGGTCTGTCAACCAGCAGTATTGATAGCCATTCAGTTCTTTTTAACTTAGATGTCAGGACAAAGTAAACCCCTTTACTCTTAAATCCCTTTACTTCTGTCTCAGAGTTAATTACAGACAATTTATAGTTCTTTAACTTCTTTGATGAAAAGATCAAACTTGCAAACTCTAAATATCTTTTTTTACTATAAAGAGATCAAGCAATAGAGAGGAGTGGATTAAAAGGGGATGAGGTATTAATTTATTTCTGTGTAAAATTTTAAAAATGAGAACCAATAACATTCTGTTTGGTATTAAGCATCTTAAAAAATTACAACACACTATAAGCAATGGTGGAAATTTACCCCCAAGTAGCAGACTAGCACATTTTAAACACACAAGCTAGAGCCGCCTCTGGCCACATGTTTTTTTGAGTTCAGTCTCTTAAAGAGACAGTATTCTTGGACGTATGCCCTACATGACGCACATTTCTAAAATGTTTGATTACTAAGCATCCACTCTTGCATTTCTTCAAATCCATACTCGGCCAACAGTGTTCTGCTTTATTTTACTGTAAAATCAAATTATTTTGACTTAAATCTACAAATGACTCCCGGGCCCGCAGAGATGAAATAACAGGGAAAGTTACTGACTACTGACTAGAGGTGTCTAAAACACAGGAACCTACAGATTTAACAGCAACCGTGTGTTGAGTTTTTTTTTTTTTTTAAACTAAAACGATCACTGTTTCTTCATTCATCTACTGATTCACTAGGCGTCAGTGACAGAATACATTGTAACCGATAACACCGGAAGCTATACCACTGCAATTTCGCTGTGGAATGAAGGGAGGGAACTTGCTATACCGTCAACCATCACCAAAGCAGTAAAATTTCAAAGATTTAATTTTCTCTTTAAGAAAAATACCCAGGAAGGGGCCCACCCACATACCCTAAAAACTGTATTAACTCGAGACTGTAAGAAAGATTTCTGTCTTTCAATATACCTAAGGGCACATTATTATACAGCCATTGACAAAACTACTGATGAACTCCTCCATGTGGAAAAAAGTGAAGAGGGTGGAAAAGTTTGGCTTACTTGGTGTACGAATACATCGACTGGAATATCCAAGGGACTTCCCTCTCGGTTTATCATGGAGATGAATCCAAATCCCATTCGCACATTGAACCACTTACAGTGGCCAGTTCCATGCAAAACCTGGGATTCCTCCTCTGCCTGCTCCGGCAGCTTCCCGGGCTCTTCTCCACCACCTTTGCTTGCCCCGCCTGAGGAGAACGGGACAAAAAAAAAAGTCAGTCTGTATTGCCATACAGTTCATGGAAAGAGGGGGTAAAAACTGCTTGAGAGCTCAGGGAGTGGGGGTGGGGAAGTCGGGGAGAGAAGGAAATACTAAAACGCGATTAAATGGTTGAGTCCTTTTCTTCTACAGAAAATATTTAATGGAAAGGGTTAAAAGGAAAGGGGGGAGGGGGAGCCACACTGTTCTATCGATCACATCCACTTCCACGGTTCCGTACACACGTGTACTTTTTCATTTAACTCCATATTTTCACTCGCACATTACAGTACAGCATGAGATACTTTACTTGCATATTGCTGATTTAACACTGATCCCATTTACATAGAGAATTTTTCCTCAAAACTCTTCTCTCTGGCAGGCACGAGGAGGAAAGAAATTGCGAAGGTTAGAACTACTTTAACGCACATGCCGCAGCGAACCCAGGGTTGTCTGCGCTGTGCGTTCCCCTCCCCCATAACTTTAGATTAAAGTTGGGATGGGGGAGGGGGCAGGTGTATAAAAGTTTTCTTGGCTCTCTAACTGAAACTGCGCTTAATCACACTCAAACAATTCAAACAATAGCCCCCTGAAAGCTTTTCAAGTTGTGAATCAGTGTGGGCGGTACAAAACATTTTTGGAGATCTGTAACAATAGGTTGCCGAAAGCCCCCTTGTGCGATGGGGGGTGCGGGTAATGCCCAGTATTGGGGTAAAACCGGGAAGGGGGGACAGGCAAAGAAGGATGGGAGAGGGGGAGGGGGAAGAGAAAGGAAGAGAGAAAATCACAGTAAAACAATAGAAAAGAAAATTAACCTTCGGCCATGTTGCCCCACGGGCTGTCTGCTCCAAACTCGTGAGATGAAAACTTTCCCTTTGCAACGGAGTGATCTTCTGCATCAATCTAACATCTTGATTTTGTGCGATCACAAATTTAGCTCGCATGGTCTAATGTGCTTTCCCTCTTTTGATTTTTTTCTCTTCTCTCTCCAGTTTCTGGCTCCCTGAGCACACGTGACTTTGTCAATTACATGCTTTCTTGCTACTAATTTCACCTCGGATCCTTAAGGGGCCGGCAAGAGGAAGAGATAACCAATCGCCATTTCATCTATGCTGACATCAAAATAATTTATGAATGAACACGAAAAACTCAAACATGTTATCTTAAAGACAATTTGGGACGCTTCTTTACGATAAATCAGAATGCTGACTTTGTGCTTTTACTTAAACACAATGGAGGGTTCTTGTGAATCGTTTAGAAAAACGGCACAGTCATATATGTGCACACGCGTGCCTTACACACAAGCCAGTCCACATAATCTCATTTAGGAGAAAAAGCCATTTAAATAAAGCAACTGAGGTTACGGCTTTTTTCCCGTAAGAATTCATCTACTCAATACCAATAAACCTGCTTTGGACGCAAATCTCGTATTTATTCAGTTTTAAAAGGAAAATACATAATTTACAAAAGATCTAATTAAATCTAATGAAATCCCCATGAAAGTTTAGATAATGATGTTATACACCTACAATAAGACAAAAGCACACAATTACCTGATTCTACCCTAAAATTTTTCAAATGTAAAATAAATCCTACTGAAAAAATCTCTACCACCTTCGTGTAGTCAAATCATATTTAGGATTATAATTTCGGAACATTTTGGAAGAGGTTGGTAAGAAATCGTACTTCACAGGTTTCTCCACCACCTCTTTTCCGGGGGAGGAGATGTGATTAATGACTTCCTAAATAACAGCCCAGTTTTTCAGCCTAACATAGAGTGAACCTCAATCAGTGGCGATTGTTCCCCAAGAGCAAGACAACGTAGGGCAGGGAGGGGGAGGGGTACGCCGGGCAGGGGAGGTGAAGAGGAGCCGCCAGCAGAGGCGGCTGCAGAGCCAGAGAAAGAGGTGGGGGAGAAAAAGCAGGCGCTGGTGGGGGGAGGGGCGAAGAAAGAGAGGCAAGTGGGAGGAAAAAAGGTAAATTTATATAATGTTGACTGGACCCCTACATTTTAAAAGTCAACTACCAGTGGGTAGAAAAGTAGAATAAACGAAAATTTAATAACGGATTAGGCTCCTACCGCCGTCCCTGGCCCACCCTGTTTTAAAATGCTTTCCCTTTACCTTTCAGATCAGTTCAAATGATTGCAGACTACTAGATAGAGACACCAATATCACCACCCTCATCGAATACTACACTAAATGTTATATAGATCAACTAGAAATGCCTTAGTTCCTTTAAAAAACATAACCAGTTTTTGAAACACTTAAACGCACCACCACTTTCCCCCACCCCACCCCCATTTTCTTAAACAAGCAGTTTACTGGGAAACTGTACAGATACCACTTCCCTTAGGCACGGCTACCGAGTTGAGTGAACCCTCCCCCACCAAACCGGCAATCCCCTCCGGTGTCTCCAAACAGGTCCACACTAACTCTTAGCACTCCTAACACTTGCACACAAACTAAATTGTAGGGATCTTGAATTCAAGAGCTTTTGAATATCCACATACAGCACCTATGTATACCTCCTCCCCATGCTAAACAACTAAATATAAATTTATACTACTTGGTTCAGATCTGAAATAAGTGAATGTAGGTAAGTGTGTGCTACTTTCAGATGCTTGTGGTAAAAGGCTTCAAACAAGATTGATGAATTTAGAAAATTTTTTGTCTATTTTGTTGTTTCTCAGGAAAGGGGGCAAAGTTTTCTCATTTACTTTAGAGGGAATAAGCATGGTAGAAAAGAAAAACTGTGAAAACCAAAATGATTTAGAAAGAGTACCAAAAGCTCAAACCTCTCAAAAAATTACTTGCTAACAAAATATTTACTAGGCATTATTTTAACAGAAATCAACTGATTACACTGACCTATAATGAAGTAACTTTAACAATGGCACTTCATGTTAAACTTCTCACAGAATACAAAGTAAAAAATACTAAAATAAGTTATGTGGCTTCTTAAAATATTTTAAATGAAAGAATTACTTTAAACATCAACATCTGGTTAACAGAGAAATAATCTAGGAAAGTATTCATGTAAATTGAAGGAGAAAGCTGTTATTTATGTAAAACTGTCATAAAATGCAGACCAGTAGTTTAATTTTGTCAGTGACACACATTTATAGTAAATGATATTATCTGCAAGTTTGTTTTAATTACAAAAATGTTTAATAAAATCAAAAACAATATATAGATGGATTCTGAATCCTTGTTTACTGTTACATTTTATGAAATTCAAACCTGTAACACCGATTAAAACTGTGAAATGCCATAACTGAACTGCATAAAATGGTGTGGTTCAGTCTTGCCTCCAGTATTAGTGGAATTAAGGTAAGGTTCACTGGACTGGTCACTGGTGTCAGAGGTTATCGACTCATTCATTTCCTGAGGGGGACATCAGCCTTTCAAGTTGTGTAGAAGGCTTTTTCTAACCGGGAACTCTGAGAAATCCTCTAACATTCATTCACAAAGAATTTAAAGCAACTGCATTTACATACCTGGGGGGAGGTGAAAGAACTGGGGAGAGAAGGGAAAAGAGGGAAGAGGAGGGAAGAAAGTTGAGGAAAAAAGTGAGGGAAGCAGACAGGAGAAACAAAATATCACAATTTCAGGGATACGACACTGTCTTTTACATAGGTTCATCTTTTTTGTCCTCCAATCCCCACCTTTTGAGTCTAAAACCCTTTTATAAAACTGAACATAATCTCTTTAAGCTCAGAGTGCTTCTTTCACATAAAATGGCCCTATGAATCTCCTAGAATGCTTTCCAATTTGTCACCTTCCCGAAGTCTCCTGGTTTTAATTTTTTTCTCATTTCCTACTTGTTTTTAGTGCCAGAAGACCTGTGCTTGACTCAAAACGCATGTTTTATACTTGTGAAAGCCAAATATTTCAGTAGGTTAATTTATCATAGTTCTTTCAAAATATCTATAAAATGACTTCAAGTAGCTACAAAGATCATTAACGCACTGGGGATAAAAATCAAGGAAATAACCGATCATATATGCCCACTGGTTATCACAATCTAAGGCTTCTCCATGAAAAAAAGCAAAGTGCACGCACTCTCAGCCGATTTTGTTTTTAATCCCAACAGTACAATGCAAGGAGCCAAAAGAAATGCCAGAGCCCACCGTCCTTGTTTTTCTATAAGCAATGAGTGACTTCTATCAAAGCAGAAACAATGCTTTGGTTCTTCCTAAAACTAGGAGGAGGGGCTGTGCCACTGCAGCGAGCGACTCCACCCGGGTTCTCCTCCTGGCAAATGAGGCCGGGGTCTGCAGCCCCAGCGCTGCCTTCTCAGCCCTGTAGTTTCACGCACAGTCCGAGCCCCGAGGTCGCCAAGACCCCCAGCCAGCGGCTCTCCCCTTTCCCTCCACCTCCGGCCCGGCACTTCCTCTCCCTTCTCGTCACCTTTCCCTTATTCAGCACATCACCACCTCCTCTCTACAAGTGGAGCCATTCCTAAGGCGGCTAATGATTTCTCACTAATTAACGGATTTTTACGTTTGTCCTCCCTACCACTCCCACCCCAGAAAACCAAACAAAGGAAAAAACCCTTTCCTTCACCACTACGGAAGACAACACTTGGCGCGGTCTACCTGCGTCTCCAGACATAACATTTATAATTTGATCTCTTCATCTATGAGATGTCAAGAGTCTCGGAAATCTAAGAGAAGTGAAGTCAAGGGGGAAGGAATTGGGAGAACTACCAACTGGAAAAAATGACCACTACCCCCTTCCCCCCACCAGGCCTCGCCTAAAATGGAGAGGTCTTCAGACTGCTGGCGCCGGTACTTTAGGGCAGCCACGAAAACATCGCTGTGCGCCTTCGGAGGGTCAGAGAAAGCACTCCTCCGGGAAGGGGGTGGGGTGGGGGGCGGCTGGAGATGATTTTAGGGAACCCACTTTGGCCTCCCCAATGAGGTTTCCAACCCAAAAGCGGCACCTCGGGCAAACTGTTCCCGATCCCTCCCACTGCGGTTTCAGCAAACTACTTGGCAAATAACTTGCTTGAAATTCTTACAATACGGAATCCCATGAAAGGAGTACTCTGCTGGGTGCCTTGGTCTTATAATAAAGGCACTTGAGAATACGGAGACATTTTGTTTTTGTTTTAAAAAAGCAAAATTCCGTTCTCATTTAATTTCCTTATCTAGAAACAAAATGCTTTGGATTAACCCAATTGTTCCAATTTGAGAAACTTTACACCGCTTGTAAATCTCTGTAAATTTTTTCCTTAAATATCTTAACACATTTCCCCAGGTTTAATTAAATTATGAAAACACAAGAACTTATTAGCATATATTTTACATTTTACAAATTGCTTTCATACTTAAAAAAAGAACAAAGATTTGCAAACATTTCCTTTTTTTGGATCAGTTATGTTTCAGCAAAGTATTTAGAGCAACAAAAATTAAATCAGAAGAAAGACATTTTAAAAGCATCATTTTATAGAAAGTTTCTTCAAAAAACTGAAATAACAATCCTGTTTTATTACCATACTCCCCCAGTTAAAAGGAAAAATAAAAATTTTTATTTTAATTCCCAAATATTTTCTGAACTGTGTTTAACAAATACTTCCTTAAATGATTTTAATCAGAACAGAAATGGGTTAAAAAATCATTTTCTCACAAGCACTACATTACTTTGCCCCAAATTGCACAAAACTTCATTTTATTTGAAAAATGAGTATTTTTCACCTGCATGAGTCAAATATGTATGCTTCATAATTTGAAGATCTTTTTGTAGTAAATATTAAATCTATAGAAATAATACTATATAGTATAAACATGTAATTCCCCTCCAAAGCAATGATAGCTGGTTCTTTATAACTTAATCTCATCAAAAGAAATCTTAATAACTTAATCTCATCAAAATGAAATAAGTATGGGCTGTTTCCGACGTATTTATTTTAGTATTTTCACTTTGGATTTATTTGGGAGAAGGGGGCAGGTGGATGGAAAATGGAAAGAAAAAGAACAGTGGGGGAGTAAAAGATGAGGGAAGTGGAAAGAAATCTTCAGGCTTTAAAGATGCCTGTGTGAGAAGCAAATCTGTGGAGAAAGAGCATCCAGCTAGAAACTAGAAGCCAGAGTTCTAGCCCCACTTGCTGACTTTATTAATCACTAAGCTTCTCTGGGCCACAGTTACCTCATCTGCAAAGGAGGAGACTGGACCAGCTGAAGTCCAAATATTTCATCTTAAATGTAATCCCTGGAAATAACCTTTCTTTTTGGTGAAAGTGGAACCTCTCCTGAACAACCCCTTTTTACTCACAAGGAAACACAGACATGAAACTTTATTACAGTCACTTAACACATTGGTGTTAACATTATTTCCCAACAGAAAAGAAAAAGGTATCTGGACTGTCTCCAGTTTGTCCCCACAAAAAAGCCACAAACAGTAATCAGAAACTAGTTAGTAAATTAAAATATTGTAGCATCTTTTCAGTATCTTCTTTTTCATGATACTCATTAGAGCATCATCTCCATGTTAAAGGATTCACTAGAATCCTTCTAGAAAAAAAGGAAAGTGAAATGGCAATGCCTATCAACAGTTTCCTCATTCAACTTTTTGATCCCTATTATTTTCATGTTGCTATCTATAATCCTGAATTTGATAAGTTTAATGACAGAATAACATCTTTTTACTTGCATTTAATGTTCATAAACCCTGTCCTATCACAGCTTTTAAATGCTTTCATAGTAGTATCAGTTAAGACTAGAGCCAAAGTATTAAATTCATCAAAGTATAAGCCAGAGTATTACATTATCAAATAAAACTGTTACTGACAATAGTGTTGTAAGTTTTAAGTGAATGTCGGTAACTTAAGAAAATACTTATCAAAAATCTAGGTTTTATAGTACATCTACATAAAGGAAAATACATATACTAGGTTTAAAATGTTAAAAGTTCAAATGACTCATTTTTGTAGTATAATGAACAAACATGATACAAGTTCATGAAAATCCAAATAAATGGAGCTTCTTTAAAGTAGCAAAATTCCCTAATTCTCTGAAAAATGTCTAATACATTGTGATATTCATGTTATGATAAATTATTTGAAAATAGCACCAAGTCTCTATTTTTAAATTAATTCAACCTATATTTGTGAGTGCCTATTTTGCTATGGGTATTTAAAAACGGAACAAACTACAAATACTCTTCATTCAGCTACATAAACATGTAAATATCTATCAATTTTCCCTGAGTTATAGAAAAAAGAATCACAAAACCCAATACTACTAAAATCAAGAGGAAAAAGGGTTAATTAGAAGATTTCATCTATGTATTCAGGTGGGAGCAACAGTTTATAGACAGGATGATCTAGAATCCAATAGGATACGGTACCCATCTAGCCAAAGTGAATTCCTGAAAGTTGCCAAATTTCCTCATATACCTTTAGAGATCTTTTCAAATGTTCATCAAGTAAAATATTTAATTTATAAAAAAAAAAAGACTAACCTGGGGCTGATGAAACCTGGTTGAATGACCTCATCATCTTCTGAAGAACCTAGAACCAGAAAGTTCAAGTTAGTACTACATTAATAGCCTTTTTAATTACCTCTTCTTCAGCTTAGTGGATCATTAGAAAGCAATAAAATGCCCAGGTTTTGACTCTGTGAAGTCAAATTTAAGACTCACCTAGCAAAATTAGATAACCAATTGCCATAAACTTGCCTTTCATTCCTATTAAAGGACACTGATTTAAAAAAGCCTTTTAAACAAAATCATTAAGATGTAGTCAAAGATCCTGATTTCAAGAACAATGAAATTAAATTAAAAAACCACTTATTGCACTGTAATTCAATAATTCCATTCTATTTTAAAAACACAATTAAGAATCAAGCTAATCCACAATATTGTGCTTCTTGATGAACTTACCTAACTATTCTCTTCAAATATATTTTAAAAGATAAATCATGAGAATCTAATTGTGGTACCTACACCATTGATACTAGAGCTCTCTGTTACATTCATATACTCTTTGCAAAAATAAAAATTTACTTTAATGGTAATTCATTTAACCATTAAGTATATTTAATTAAAGGTTCTTATTATGTATTAACCCTGATTTTTAAAAGGAAAAACAGTTCTTGTTTACAACACGAGTAAGCACTGACTTTTCTAAAAGATCTGCTGGCAGATGTCACAACACAATAAAACTTGTAATGAAGAGGTCACCCAGTAGTGAAGTATAGCAATTGGAAGAGAAACTGCCAGTGGCCACTGGATTATCATTTTTATCTTTAGGTAAGAGTTATTAAGGACTGGAAAATAATTTGTTTGAACACACATCCAGTTACCTACTACCACCCAGGGTTACCTTTGTTCCTTAACTAAGTTTTATATCTACTATATCAACTCACACAAAATAAGCCATTATGTGCAAATTCTTTAGGTTGCAATCTAATTTTCTTTTCAAAACTAAACAGATGGTTTTCCAAGTGCAGAGTTCTAATGAATGTTGACCCAAGATTCTTCTTATAAAGGATGACAGTCCCATTGAGTAACATTTGAAGACTAGAGGAAGAATGTGAACAAAGGGTATGTGAAACTCTGTACATTAAATCCTCCAGTTATCCTGCACTGACCACTAAAAGATAGAAGATGACAGATCCTAATGTTACCAAAATTCACTATTAAAACTTATTAAATAGAGCTTTCCTTTACAGTAAGACTACATTGTTTTATTTTGCACATTTGCTTTTGTTAGGCATTACACATAATTTCAGCAAAACCCTAGCCCATTTTTGTGTTCTAATAGCCCACAGCCCATGCTTAATCTTCTCTGCTTATATTTACAAAAAAGTTCAAACCAACATATTCTAAAGATGTAGAAAAAAAAAGGAATGAGGGAGGTAAATGCTATATAAAATATTTACAATATTAAATATTCATATGCTCAATATAGGTGACTATTTGAAATAACAATAAGGAATTAAAATTATTCCTTAAATACATGAATAATCAAAAACAGCTATTTATAATTTTATACACAGGTATATTTATTTAATACTATATTTGGGGGTAAATATTAAAAACTAATTAAAGTTGTGATATCCTAGAATATACTTCTCTGATCCTTCACTAGAATAATCTCTGTTCATCATTTAAATCTCCACTTTGATCTCTTTTTCTTATTGTTGCACACTGAGTACCAATGCTTCCACCATGTGATACTGTACTGTAATTGACTGTAATAGCCCAAGATGATGTTCTCTTCCCAAGTTCACTCTATGCTGTATGGTGGCAGGAATTGTATATATTCAGCTCATCATTTTAATCTGGGCATTCTTTAGTGTTTAATACACAATTTTTAAATCAATGACTTAATGAATTTCCAAACCTAGCTTGACCATCTCTAGAATGCTTTTATGAAATAAATTAATTTGTATACAAAATTTTCTTCAGCCCTGGCAGAGAAGCTCAGTCAGTTAGAGCATCATCCTGATACAGCAGGATGCAGGTTTGATCCCTGGTCAGGGAACACACAAGAATCAATCAATGAATGTATAAATAAGTGGAACAACATATCAATGTCTTACCTTTCCTTGTTCTCTAAAATAAATAAATAAATACATATATTTTTAAAAATTTTCCTTAACGACCACCTTTTCATAAAGAGAATATGATAGAAAATTAGTCCTTTGACTATTGCATACATAAAATATGTGCATACAAAATGATTTCAATAATTTTAGCTAAACATGTGTACTTCTGCTATAAAATTACCTAGTTTATAAACACTGTTACAAATACTTTTATACTTCATACTTCCTCCTATTAAAACATACAATATTCTTCTCAAGTACTTTACATATTGGTGTTAATCCACTATTGTAACTATGCAATGTAAAGGAAAATTATTATTATTGCACATTATACAGTCACTTTTTAAAAAATTGACAATTAAGCTATTAAGCCCAGAAAATTGAGTAATAGCAATACTACCATATTACTCAGAATTTTATTTCAGTTCAATTTACATCATGTAAGTTTTCCCTCCTAAAATTAATAATATGCAAGTTACTTTTTTAAGCCAAAAGAATTTTATTTGTATTGATTTAATCTTTGTGTTTTTCAAGTTACTTTTAGTTCTCAAAATAATTTAGCAATCAAGAATATTTGCCAAAATAAAAGGAAAATTATTTCATTAGTTATTCTCATCTCTATAATTTTTCAACATTTAAAAAATACTTAAGAAAACAATTTTTTTTTTGTTTCTTAGTACTGGTATTTTCTAAAATAATGTAAGTATAAAACATTATAGTTTAGAAAAATATTTATGGTTTATAACAAAAATTATAGTCTATTTACAATATGACTCAACTATCATTGAAATAAATATTTGTTTTGAAAAGTGAAGTAGACAGCAATGTGACTGTTCTTTACTAGAAAAATAGTTGGGGAGAAGTTTTTAAATGACTTCAAACCATATAGCAAACATCCTACACAAACACCAGACTGAAACCTAAACCGCAATACTTATTTAGATTTACTATAACAAATATAACATAAACATACATCAAATAAAAATATTAAATGTTGAAGTTTTTAATATTGAATGTTTTCTAACACTGTCCTCTGAAGAAACATTTACTATGTATCTGTGGATTCAGTGCTGGCCTGCAAACCAAAGGGTTGCTAGTTCGATTCCCAGTCAGGGCACATGCCTGGGTTGTGGGCCAGGTCCCCAGTGGGAGATATGCAAGAGGCAATCACACATTGATGTTTCTCTCCCTTTCTCCCTCCCTTCTCCTCTCTTTAAAAATAAATAAGTAAAATCTTTTAAAAAAAACCTTCGATCTAATTATTTTTTGCAAATTAGTCAACTGACAAATCAAGTGCTACATAGGCAAAATTGTGATGAATTATTTTTCAATTCAACTGAACATTCTCCTGTAATTTTATATATATGAAGGGGGACCCCCAAAACCCCAGAATTATCTCCTGGAGGGCAGGCCCCTTGTAGTACGGGCTTCCCCCCCTAGGTGAGTGTTCTAGGTACCCATCTGTATCAGTATACCAGCTGGTGTTGTTGTGAGAGGATGCATTTGGTTTTAGTGATTTTTTTAAAAAGCTTTTTTGGTGCATTTGCCCATTTCATGATAGATGATTTAGAGCTCACCTGTCCAGCCTGCACTGAGAGTTTAGCAGTTTTTAAACAAAAATGGCATGACCCCCCATGCCTCACCCTCCCTATTCACCCAATCTCTCTCCAAGTGACACCCCTGCAATGAAAAAAACCCTCAAAGGGAAATGTTTTGCCAATGTGGAAGAGTTAAAACAAAAAATGGCAGAAGCACTAAAAGGCATCAAAACCGATGATCTCAGAAACTATTCTGAGTAGTAGAAAAAATGTCTTGATAGGTGTATTCCATCAAATGGAGAGTACTTTGAAGGAGACTGGAGTTTAAGCATGTAAGAATAAATACACGATTTTTATTAATAAATTCTGGGTTTCTGGGGTGTCCCCCTTGCAAGTGGAAATCTTGTACCATCAAGTTTATACAGGTTCAATTTTTAAAAAACTATCTTTAAAGAAAAATATTTACATGTAACTTTATACAGATGAAAAATAATGAGTACTGGAATGTTAAGACAGGAAATTTTGTATTTGTTTAAATATTTTGAACATTTTCTTGAGATAAAGAAATTTATATTTACAAAGATACTGCATTTTTATATTTATGAATTACATCTTAATACATTAATTTTTCATTACTTACACTATATAAACACTTAACTTTAAATTAGAGGCTAATATTTCTAGTACTGCTAAATCCAGAGATGGTAACTTTCTCTACCACTGTGAAATTGAAATTTTACTGGTTTTGCATAAGATATAGGCAGCTCTAGCATTCTCTTCAAAAAAGTGCACTAAAAATAATTTATTCTAGAAAATAAATTTCAGTGAATATTAATTTAAGTCAATTGACATATTGTCTAGACTGATTAAGGCACTGAGTATGGCACAATTCTTAACTGTAAACACAATTCTTTAATTTGTGAATGTGAAAGTTGTAGCACAACTGAGCAACAGCACAGTTGGTTTTGTTAATGCAAATAGTTTGTATTTCCTACACTATAAAACAACAGTTTTATACAATAAAGCCCACAGCTGATTTCATTAAGGTCACATAAAATTAAAGAAAAAAGTGGTTTTAAATTACAGAATTCAAATAATAGTAAAATTTCTGTTTAAAAAGCTAATAACATATATTTTTAATGTCCTCCACAACTTGAAGCTAAAAACTGTATCACAGCTTTTTGGTATGGTAACAAAAACAAAAGATTTCATGTAAACCTGAATATCTCTATTTAACATAATAAACATCAAGAGATGTTTTAGAGGCTGCTCATCTTTATGCCATGGCCAGTGATCTAATGGTATAATAAACATAATATTAAATAAAAACAATAGGAATTTCACTGGCAAAGATTATACCAAGAGATTAGTGCAAAAAAAACCCATTTAGTTTTTCTAAAATATTTAATCTACAAAAAAGTATGTCTGTTTTATACCTATACAGTATAGAATATTTTAGTTGAAATATTTTTATAGAATCTAAAAAAATATTACCTAAAAGAAATATCTGAAAAATATAAAAGTAGCATTTTGGCTCTTGCATTTCTACTGTTTGTAAAAGAAATACAGATTTGAAAGTATTTAGAAAATTTAAAACGTGTTTTTCCACCATTACAACTGGTCATACAACACTATGTCCTTTTTTTCTATATAATTAAGCTTTTGTTCAGCCATGAAAAAACTGGAAACTGATTGCTTGAAAATGAGCTGCATGCCCTTTGTCCTGGGTGGTCACCTCTGACCCTTAATTTGATGATCCTGCATATCAACCCATTCTATTTTTAGAAAAATTGTCAAGTTCTACATCTAAAATAGTACAAATGATACTTTTTACTGAAATATTAAAATGTATTACACATTCCTTTTCAAGTAATTTCTATAGTGATTTCATATCAGTGTTCAATTCACACAATGTAAAACACAGTAATATCATAAGCAGTGACAGCCTGGTGTCTGTCCTGGTTCAAACAATAGAAAATTTCCCCAAAGAACTAACTCAAGATCATTATAATGTAAAAATATATATTTTTCTATTTATAAACTTGCTTTTATATTGTTGTTTCCAAGTAGAATTTATTTCATGACTTATTTCTAAATTGATTAATTTGATAACACATGTCTTGATGATGGTATGGATAGTGCCAGACTATGAACTTGAATCAAAAATTCCAGGTATCAAATTCATACACAACTTTACTGCAGTATCAGCTAAAATTGTACTTTTTTTGAGAATTCATTAGTTGCTTAAATTGGTTTTATAATCTTGTCTTCCTTTGCAAGTGGCAGCTTTCGAAGAAAGAGAAAACCTCTAGCATTGATCTTATTGATTATACTGACATTCAAAATTAATGTTATACAGTTAAGGGTAAAATTTCTCTATTACAATTTCTGGTTGATTCCAATGAAGCTGGGTAAAAAGACTACATTAAAAGGTATATATAAAGTATATGTATATATTTCTTACAGTGAGGATAGTACTTGAACCTCTATGCAATTTCTGTGTGGTTTTCAGTCAGATTTAGCAATGACCAATATGGCTGTCTTGGTTCAGCACTATGGTCAGCGACTTCCCAGAGTGACTGTCAGATAAATCCAAATCAGTATACATGTATCTAGTGGGCAAGTTTCTCAAATCAATGTAATTTTATATTTTACATATTCCTAGATATGTTTATGTAAATCAATCTTAATCTTTTAATATAAAGAATTTTTTTTCATTGTTCTACTTGGAAAGCTAGAAATTCTTTACCTCGTGGGTCACAGAAAACAGTATTTATTGGTAAAGAAAATGTTCCTTTAAAGGCAAAAAAATCAGGTACATGTTCTCAAGCATTTAAATATAAAAACTTGGACACTTATGGGCTATAAAGTTTTAAAAGAAAATAAGATTCTACTAAAAATTGCCAAATAAGAAAAATCTTTAACTGACCAAAAATTTGTAATGTCCCTTTTATACTCAACAGCCTTTATTACTTCTAAACTAATGCATCTATGAATCTCTGCTTCCCTTTTTTAATCAGCTGAAGTATAGCTTAAATGTTTAAAGATCATTTAGTCTACAAATTTGATACTTATGAATAACACTTTGATTATTTTAAAGAAACATTGATGCTATACCTGAAAGCTATTATTATGTTTTATTTAATAACTTATTTTTCCCTTAATCATAGTTTATAAATTATGATAGCAGTGTTACAAATACTGAAAAAAGAGACATGATCAGATATCAATCATTATCAAACTATGACAGGTAAGATCGGTTTAATCTTCTCTTTCTTCAGAATGGGAAAAAACTCTTAAATCCACTATATTCATTAAATTTCTGGTGGTTTTTTAGAATTTACATGTGCAACATACTTTAAGTCACTCTGGACTAACTCTGAGCACTACTATACTAAAATTCAACCTCCTTCACTTACAAAGAAGTGTAGTTGACGGTCTTTCCCCCCATAACCTGGATTTATTTAAATCCTGATTAATTTCACAACAAATTTTTCATTGTTTCTGAAAGAAGTTTGGCACAGACATATAATAAGACATTAAAAAGTTTAACAAGGATGAGAATTTATCTTTGAATCATTTGGTTCCAGATCTATTATTGCAAAGTACCTATAAACAGCTCTAATTAGTTTGCATTACAAATTGATTCAGATCCTTAAATTCGTATTAACATTTATTTGACATTTTATTAACAAGCAATGATTAGTTGATCCTATTTATAAAATGGCAAAGTCAAATAAAGTATTTTATTCTTTGAGGTACCTTTACCTCCCCTCCAAAGACTAGAAAGAGGCCTGTGTCAGTTTAATTGCTAAAGCTCTTTAGGAAATTTAGACACACTGGATTGTCCTATTTCATACATTCAGAGATAGAGTGTGGGAAGCAAGAATTGTCCCCATATGGCCAAGGATCTAATTATAATTCAAAACTGAATACTGATTATTACATATTCTGTTGTTAATTTATGACTCCTATCAAACTGTACAAAACCACAGCAGAAAAAAATATGTCAAATAACAGATTCACATGAAAAATGTGTCATTTATACCAGATTTATACTTTCAAATTTTGAATAGTTCAATTTCAAATGTTACAGTTTGCCTGAAATCTTTATAAAATTAAATTGTGATGTTTTTCAGTGTTTCTTGAACTTAAAAATTCGTTTTACCAAAAGATGCATTTGTATTACCACCTAGCTAAATATAGTAATAATCTACACAAAAATGACACAAGAATTTTTTTAATCAGGGTAAAATTCACTTAATGTCACACTTTGCCAACAATGTTTTGTAAACATTTACATTAGAAATGTAAAATGTTTTACATTTTCTAATATTAGTTATGTGTACTTTTAACTTCCGCAGTATTTATGGCCAAGAAATAAAAACAATAAACACAAGCATAATTTATTTTCCCCTTGCATTAGCAATTGTAGGTATAAAAATCTTCACTGGATAATTTAGTTCTATGAACAGTAACAATACCTGGTAACCTAAAAAACCTATGGATGAAAACAAATTTACAAAAGGAACAAAAAGGAACTCAAGGAAACACAGGAACCTAAGATTTCAGTCTGTGTTACATGAACCAATTCAAAATGGCGGACTTACTATTACTTACATTTAAGAAATTTCCGCAATGAGGACATTATATACATACTGCAAGATGTTACTCGAAAACACTCAATGTCTACCAACGTGCAATTAAAAAAAAAGTTTTTGTAGTACAAATCCTCGTAATGCACCCGCATCCAGTGTTCCAGTCAGTAGTTAATGCTTCTGCAAATGTATCATTTCCTCTTTGGTCGTTTTCAAAAGCAACCTAAATCCAAGTGCATTTTTCTCCGTCCTTCACAAATCCTTAACTTTAATTCATGAATTCACATCACCGACACCGAAGCAAAAACCGATCTCCGATTCCTGCAGGCTACAAAGCAGCTCCGTTTGCGGAAAATGTGAAGGGCAGGTGCGGACGCCCCCTGGCGACGAGGCCCCGCCTGTGCGAGGCGCCTGCACCAGCCGTGCAGACCCGCCACCAAGACCCTGTGTCTCACCATAGTGCCCCGAGTCGCCTGCACCCCTCCCCGCCCAGCACTATAGCTCACAGCCCAATCTGGCTGACCAGCGGAGACCGCAGCAGTGACACTGGGCAGCTGGGCAATGAGCAACACCTCGCTTGCAACAAGCGCCAACCCAGCGGCGCGGAGCGGGGTTGAGAAAGGTGTGAACCCGGAAGTACATCGACCGCCTGCATCTCAGTGACAACAAGAGGGCATTAAAAAAGGGTTGGTGAAGGAAGGACGTGGGGTCCTGCTTACGAACAGCAACTTGCTGCGAGACATGTCACTTCCCTAGCTTGCTTCGTTCTTCTCCCTAACCTAACCGGCGCTCGCACCTCCTCCTTTCTTCCTGCCCCTTGGCACCGAGCTCCGCTCGACGTTGCTCACGTGCCAGACCAGGGGCAGCGAGCCGCCCGCACCGCACGCACACCTGGCCGCACTCGCACAGCCGCGGAGCGCGCTGCTTACCTCCGGGGCCTCATGGTCGCGTCGCCAGCCCGGGTGTAAGCGGGGGACAGCGTGTGACTACGCGTGTGGCGTTCAGTCCGGGGGACCGGGTGGAGAAAAGGGCCTGAAGGCTGTCACTTCCTGAGGGAGCTCCGGAGACCTGGGGTGTGCCCGGCGGGGCCGGGAGGGTCAGCACATTGTGAGCCCGCAAGGGGTCCCGGCCGGCGCGGAGGGGTCGGGGAGGGAGGGCGGTGCTCGGCTGGTGGACGCAGAATCCGCTGTGGCCGCAGCTCCGCCGCTGCTGCCTGGCGGGTGGCTGGGAATAGGAAGGAGCGGGCCGGGCCGGCTGGGGGCCTCGGGAAGCCGCGGTGGCACGGGCTGCTCGACTCGAGCCCTGCGTCAGGCGGCGGCACGCGCACACCTGCCCGCTGCAGCTCTGGGCCGCGTCATTGGCTGCTCACACCGAGCGCGCGAGATTGAACTTTCCATTCATTCTCGGGCTCTGTGGGCGCGCACGGCTGTGGCGGAGCTTTCCCCAACAGCTCTCAGGAAGCGCGCTGCCTTCTTCCGACCTGAAGGCGCGTTCTCGCGCAAAGCAGAATGGGGCTGTTCTCGCGGAGGCTGCGACTGTCAGGGCCTGTCGCTTGGTCCTGCAGCGCCAGCACAGGATCCTGGAGAAATCTCATTTGGTGGTCTCCAGGTGGCACCTCGAGGGAGGCAGGAGTGAAACTGTAAGAAGGTACCGGCTCTTTTTCTCCTTAACTAACAAACGCTCTGCTGGTACCTACAGATGGTAAATTCCTAATTGTGCAATTCAAAGTTATAATTAGTAATGTATCTCAGAATACAGTGAGCATCGTAGATAGTATCAGAAGTGTGGAGAACCTACTATCAGCTGTATTCTACATTGTACTTTCCTAAACAATAAAATACTCAACCTCAAATTGAACACATACATTACCTCTCAAAGTGCCAAAATATCTGGCCAAAAATACTGTGATATGTGCATACCTAACTCTGTTGTTTTGGTATTATCTCCCCAAAATGGCACTGCCTTCTCTCCTAATGCCTTTGTAGTTTATTCTTGTCACTCAAAGTTTCTTTTTATTCACTCAGAACCAAATAGTCCTGGTCAACTATCATGTGACCAGTTACAAAATCAAACAGCCTTGTAATCTGTGATCTGGTTTGATCAAACAAATATGGACTATTTGGTGTAACTGATTAAGGGATTAAATATTTCAGCAAAATAAAAACCAGTTATGTTCAAAATAAATGTTTAGTATATGTGTACACCTTATATATGGTATAACAACAAATTATAAGTGGAAAACTTTGAACATTACTAATAAAGGTCAGTTAGCTGGATAATTTATTCCTAAAAGACAAATCTCTAAATCATTACTGTATAATGATGACCATATGCTTCTTTCCAATTCCTAGATTAGATTAGGAAACCAGTTCATCTGTCAGGGATAACCATGGTCTAGAAAAAAACACTTCTGGTTTGGGGGTGAGATGAGTGGAATCAAATTTATCAGAAACAAAATCCCACTGTGACCCCCTAAGAACTTTCCCCGTTGGTTACCTTTGGTCCATTCCTAGATGATTGCCTGACTTTCCATTGAGCCTGTGTAGAGTGTGACTGACTTTAAAGATGCCTTTTCATTGGTGAGTATGTAAAGTATTTATATTACTCGTTGAGTAGTACAGAGAATTTGTTCACATCAAATTCTTAGTTATAGCCATTGTATAAATCAATTGCAATTGATTTGTTATAATGCTACATACTTTATGTTATGATACCATTTATAATTTAATGAAAAAAGATGCAGACATTGATCACAAAAAATGAAAAACAGCAATTAATTATATATCACCATCTGAAATATGATATGCTTTGACTTAAAAGCATTATAGTAATATTTTATTTATGAGTGGAGTTTATAATCAATGCTCTTACAGAATGAAATTTCTGTTTTTTTTAATAACTATGTCAGGTGCTTTATAAGACTTACGATATATTGATATATTACTTGTTTAAAGTCTTGAGTATTGTAAATAGAAAACAATTAAAACAGATTAAAATATAACCTTGAGTTGGTATCCCAAATAATCAATAGGCCATTTTCCTTTTTGATTTCAAACTAATTATCATTATGGCATCATGTTGCTGTGAGAAAAATGAAAAACGTGGCACTGTAATACTTACTGTATTACTTTATATTAGGTGCCAGGATGGGGAGAGAATGAACCTTGATAGGCTAAGCACTTACCAAAGAATAAAATTGGCATAATTAAAAGTGAATGAAAAGCCACAAGAGAAAGTTAAAGGAAAATGAATTTATCATTTATATATGGCTCTCAGCAATTTATTTCTAAAAATGTATCTTTTTACCTGGGACCATGGCGATAATTTACTCCTAAGATTATATCTGATAATGACTCCTTGAAAGAACAAGATCTATCTTATTCTTCTCAGTGCCTCCAGTGCCCACAACAGTGCTGGGCACATAGTGTGTGTGAAAGATATTTTGCTTTTTAATTGGTGCATGAGAATGCACCATGGTTATTTTTTAAGCAAGTAATTAACAAGACATTTGGAAAATATAGCATGCAGTGTGTTATTTATCTCCCACCCTTTTTTTTTGACCAAAGTACAAGGTCTGTCCAGAAGGTATCCAGACATGTAATATGAAAAATAGAAACATTTATTGAAGATACAAAAACATAGTACATAGGACAATGACTCCTCAGTCTGCATTCAAAGTAGGCACCTTGAGATCTCACACATGATGCGTGGGTCACCGGACAGCAGTGATCACGGAACGCTGCGGATGGCTCGATGAAACGCGAGAAAAAACATGCACAGAGACAGACTAGTTTCTGTGGAGAAGTAGGCGGAATGGCCACCCCCTCTAGTGGGGAGCACGCTGATTTACCGTCCAAACCTGCTTTTATTGGGTTCGTTTTGCATAATAATTCAGGTACTATTACTCATTACAAGGAAGTAAGGAACAATAGATAACAAGGAACTCTGTGGGTCTATTTTGAATCAGGGTCAAAGAGCTGTAAGACTTTGAGGAACAAACTAACTTCCTCCTTGGACCTTTCTCATTCTAAACAAAGAAGGTTTCACAGTAATTTACATGTTCTTTCTTAGGCCTGATCACCCTGGGAATCCACCCTTTTCAGCACAGAGCTGCACCACCCTGTCATTGTTTCAGGCTTAGGTGGAGCAAGGGAACTAAGGCAACCAAGAGATAAGGAGATTTTCTCCCAGACGCTGAGAACTCAGGCTATGTCAAAGCCGAGGAGCGAGGGTCCATCACCCCCTTTTGCTGTAGTCCCCAAAGTCCTTCTTTTGGGGGCCTCTCATGTGATCGTGCCTGTGTTAGGTCGTTCCCCCCTTGGGGAATCTTACCTGTCTTTGGCTAACTGACCAAGCTTTGGGGTTCAGTTATGAATGAAGCAGCAAAAGCAGTGCTCCTGCCAAGGAGATAAGCTTTTGTCTCCTTGCTGGCTTATGGTTCCAAGGGCGCTCCCTTAGCCTTAGCCTAGGTGGGGGTTACAGCTTCTGATACCAGGCAGGGCGGTTCCCAACACACACAGTTCTCCCAATTGCCATCAGTTGCCCCATTGGATTTTCATGAATCCCATTGACAGTCTGAAATCTCTTCCCTTTCAAAGGTGATTTTAGTTTGGGGAAAAGCCAGAAGTCACAGGGTGCCAAATCTGGGCTGCAGGGGGACTGAGCAACCTGGGTAATTTGATGCCTTGCCAAAAAACTCAGCATGAGACATGGTGCATGAGCAGGCACGTTGTTCTTTTGAAGCTACCAATCACCAGTTGCCCATAGCTGTGCCCTTCTGAATCATCCAAATAGTTCCCATGGAGGAATGAATGTTCAAGCTTCATGTGCAATTTGATGCAGATTTGTTGCTCTACTCAGTCATTTTTAATGTGACGGCCACACAGTACACATGCTCACTCAATGGCATCTACTGTCCCCACTGGCTGGTACAGTAAAGTCGTCATTGTTCACGCATGCACATTCCAGTCCGTTCTCCTTTACTGCCAGTATACATCAATGTAGCGCAAATAGTTCTCATTAACAATGGCTGGACTTTTTCTAGACAGACCTTGTATATGAAAGTAAATCCCAGACATCATGTCGTTTTACTTATGAATTAGAAGTATTAAATGTTATAATAT